CTCTGCCTACGGTTTACCGGGCAGTTTTGTTTGTGACGATACATATATATATATATATATATATATATATATATATATATATATATATATATGAACCCACGACCTCGTGAATGGCACTTGCGAGCCTTACCAACTGAGTTAGGCTGCTGGATTGCATCTTTCCATGTTCTAGCGGAGGATTCATTCTCGTTTTGCACATATGGAGAGTAGTGGAGCAAGGGCCCATGTCTAGATTTATGCGTGTTATGTAGGGGCCAGATCGGAGCGTGCTCCACTGCTCTCCAGATGTGCAAAATGAGATTGAATCCACACCTAGAACCTGGGTAGATGCGCCGCCATATTTTTTGTCTTTTATGCACGTGAAGAGTTATGCAGCAAGGTCCACCGTTTTCCAATTTTGACGTATGTCCTAGTATGTCCTAAAGGACAGACACCTAATGCCCGCTCGCCGTTCGCCAAGATTTTAATCATCTGGAGTCTGGACTACTCATTAAAATCATATTGCCATACTCCCTAAGAAAGAAAAATTTCCCATTGTAATTATCAGAGAGACCGGTTTGTGATCAGATAAGGAATCTGAGGTTATTTCCGCATTAGATACAAGCGGGAGGACTTTATCACTTACCAAGATGATGACGTCTAGCCTGCGTCTTGCGATTGGCATTCGAGAATGAGAAGTGTATGAAACCCAAGAATACTGACAGCCAGCGCGGGTGCCGGCTCGCAGCCCATAATGTGACCCTGAGGCCACCAGCAGTGAGTTGGTGATTGGCTTGGGATGAGTGTGAGGTCAGCAGTAGTGAGTTGGTGATTGGCTTGGGATGAGTGCCTCAGTGGAGTATTGAGAGTTTAATTAGGGTTCCGTTTTTGTTTACAATACTTAGGTTCACATAGATACTTAGGGCCTCCTTAGACCCTCCTTGGAAAATCCGTAGGAATTAGGATGAAGTCCTTGGAAAAATTTACGGTTCTCCGCATCGTCGTTATTGACTTACCGTGAGGGCACGGGTGCGCAGCCCGTAGTTTGTTTCGTTTTGGCTGTGGCGAGACCCTGTGTGTGTGTATGCGCGCGCGCGCGCGTATGTGTGTGTGTGTGTGTGTGTGTGTGAGAGAGAGAGAGAGAACATCTCTGTTTCTGGATCTGGCTCAGAACTGCTTCCAGATTCAGACAAAATCATCCAGAACAGTGACTACCTTCTTCACCGGAATACAACGTACGGTCATTATGGCTGTATTTAGATGGCAAGATAGCCCAAATACAGCTATAATGACGGTACATTGTATTCGGGTGAAGACTGTAGGCCGATTGGGCCGAAGTGGGTGGGCTGGGCATGAGGCTGTAGGTCTGGGTCCACGCCGTTTGATATTTGAATTTCAAGGGCCTGTGGCCCCCAAGGCGTCGTTTCGGACTTTCCGCCCCAGCCCCCGCCAGAGGCTCGCCAACACTTCCTTCGTTCGTGCCTCTGCCAATCCTCAGAAGCGATGATATGATATTATACGCGGCGTTTCTTAGGAGGAATTTTTGGCCAAAGACATGATGATTGGTTTAGGTACTCATTTTTGGGCAAATTCTATTTTCATACTACCAAAAAACGAAATTATGTTTTCGTCAGAATTTGCCACTCTAAGAATGATGAAACTAATACCCATTTTGTTTAGTGCTATAGCCGCATTTTTGGCGTATCGTGTTAATTTTTGTGCAAATCAATTTATATATGTTTTGAAAACTAGTACACTAGGCACGAAGTGCTATTGTTTTTTGAACAACTAATTGTTCTGATAGATTAGATATAGATAAGATAAGGCGACCGACATACGACACGCCCTGATTGACGGGCGTGCCGCCTTAGGCTCTATCAGTCTATGATATGATATAAAACAAAAGTGAGAAGTAGCGAAGGGCCCTGCTATATCCAAAATAATGCATTGGGTGGATGCCTTGGCATTGAGAAAGAAAGRACGCAATGAAAGGCGAAACGCCATGGGGAAAAGCTCTCTTTGATCCATGGATTTCCTATCGGAAAACCGCAACGAAGTTGACTTAGCAAACTGAAACATCTAAGTAGCTAAAGGAAAGCATATCAACCGAGACTCCGTTAGTAGTGGTGAGCGAACGCGGATTAGGCTCTAAATACCATCCAAGCAAATTATAAAAGATTGGAAAGTCTTGCCAGAGAAGGTGATAGCCCTGTATATTTTGTCCAATGGTTTTCATTTCAAGAAGTAAGTAAAACGCGCGCCGTGTTTGAATTCTGTGGGGGACCACCACCCTCTAAGCCTAAGTATTTCTTAGTGACCGATAGTGTACAAGTACCGTGAGGGAAAGGTGAAAAGAACCCTAAGAAAGGGAGTGAAATAGAAAACATGAAACCCGATGCAAGCAATCAGTCGAAGGCTGAAAGATGCATCATCAATCAATGGATGATGGATCTGCAAAGGTTAACGGCGTACCTTTTGCATAAACCGCGCCCTTTCCTTTTTGAAAATCGCAGCTCAAGGACCGCGGCCTGCGCCAA